AATTGTTTTACTAATTACCAGGCCTTAAAGCCTCAAGAAAAACACTGATTGAAAGCTCCAGGACTATTATCAGAAGAAGTCCTTAATTTCTGCATCCAGGTTGCTAGCAAAAGATATAGGCCTTAAAGTGGAGTTGTCAGAATGAAGCTCTGCCTTCTGTCTGAGCAGCAACTTCCCAGAGACCAATCCTTCTTTCCTTATGATACCAGAAAATCAAAGTCAGTGTTTCTACAAAGTTTCCTAGTGTGGTAGATTCACTCTGGCTGGGCATTGCATGCTCACCACAGTCACTCTATCACTCCCCTCATCAGCTGGACAGTGGAGAGAAAATATAAGGAAAGGTTTGTGAGTCAGGATAAGGACAGGTAGAGATCACTCAACACTTATAATCATGGGAAAAGCAGATTTGATTCAGGAAAAATAATTGAATTTACTACCAATCAAATCAGAGTAGGGTAATAAGAAATAAACCAGAATTTTAAAAGACCTTCCCACCACCCCTCTGTGTGGGTCCCTTTCACAGAGTGCAGTCTTTCAGGGGCAGACTGCTCCAGAGTGGGCTCACCATGGGTTCACAAGTTCTGCCAGCAAACCTGCTCTGTTGTGGGCCCCTCTCTTCATAGGTCCACATGTCCTGCATGAAATTTGCTTCAGAGTGGGATCCCCAGAGAATCAGTCTCCTTTGAGCATCCACCAACATGGGGTCCTCCACGGGCTGCAGGTGGGTCTGCTCCCCCATGAGCCCCCATGGGCTGCAGGGGGACAGCCTGCCTGCCTCATCATGGCCTTCACCATGGGCTGCAGGGGAATCTGGGCTCCATCACTGGATCTTCTCCACTGACCGTGGTATTTGCAGAGTTGTTGTTCTCACACACCCTCAGTTCTTTCTCTGGATTTAATTTGCTCTTGTGCAGTTGTTTTTTCTTTTTTTTGTCCTGCTTCTTAACTACATTACTCACTGTCACTGATGGGCTTGGCCTGATGGGCTGTGTTGGCGCCAGCTGGCCTTGTCTCTAGTGGATGTGGGGGAATCTTAAGGCAGCTTCTCCCAAAAGCCAACCCTGCAGGCCCACTGCTAGCAAAACCTTACCACACAAACCCAACACATCTGGAAAAATCAGCAGCTGCTGAAATGGCTTTGTACTCAATGTGTTGTTAGTGGTGCCTGCCCACAGAATACAGGGAAGTAATAGATTTCCAGTTGCTATTCTTGTGCGCGTTCTGTGAGGAGATACGATTCAGTGATTATGGCTGTGCAAACCTCAAGCCACACTGGTTGCACACAGATGCAGTAAAAGCATGGCCTTTTTCTTAGACAAAACAATACAATTAATTACTTTCTTCTCATCCAAATTCCCTCTAATGACTGGAAAAGATCTCCTATGGTGCAATATTAGCACACCAGTGTATAATGCAAACTGAGAGCCCTCTCATAGTTGGTAGGTGGGTGCCATTGAGATTCATCATCTCTTCCTTCTTATAAAGGAGACCTGTGATACCTTTGGAAAAAATATCTCTACTATTAACACTCCCACTGTTACCTTTATGAAATACAGGGGTTTTTTGGCTCCATTGTTCCTTCCTGCTCATTCTCAAATGAATACTCCCATGCTGTGAGTTTTCTGATGTTGGATTCTGATCCAAAATCATGTGGAATCAAAAGAGCAAGCCAAAACTGAACTGAGGCACTGCAATATTTTACTGTAAGTCCTTGAGTCAGAATACCCTTTGAGTCCTTTTGCAATGGTCCCAGATAGGAGAGATTTACTCTGAGAGCTGTCAAAAACAATTTTTCTTTAGAATTAAATGTTGGATTTACTGTGATGACCAGAAGTCCTTCTGAGGCTTTTATTCTCTTGGGGTTTTTTTTTGTTTTTGTTTTTGTTTTTGTTTTTTTTTCCACAGAGAAAAGTCTGAAACATTTTTATTTGCTTCTGAACAGCGACAATCTTTATTTGTTTTTGTTACAAAATTTGTTTTCTTCCATTCTGTGACCTTGAACTGTGTAAGTGCTCGATAACATCTACATCTCCCATTTCTAAATGCTTACAGGGAAGTTGGAGAGGGACTCTTCATCTGAAACTGTAGTGATAGGACAAGGGGTACTGGGTACAGACTGAAAGAGGGGAAACACCTAGTGAAAGGTGTCCCTCCCCATAGCGTAAGTGGTTGTGACTGGATAATCTTTAAGGTCCCTTCCAACCCCTTAACATTCTGTGATTCTATGATTCTATGGAGATGTCAAGGGCATAGAAGAGTTTGAGAGACAAGTAGCAGATCTAGAACTTAAGATGCATTTAAAGACAGCCATAAGTAAAAATAGTAGAGTCTGGACCACTAGCTTCTTTTTTTTTATGAAAAAAAGAAAGGGGAAGCAGAAGTCAATAGCTCAGAAGAGCAGGATTTTGCAGCTGTGCAGCATAAAACACAGCATGATTCCAGCCTTATTTTTGACCTTTCTTGCCTTCTGTATTAGAAAAATCTTTCTGTCTGTTTTAACTGTGGTGTTCTATTTTCTTACAAAAGGTAAGCCTGTTTAATACTTTCTTGTTTCCTATGTAGTTCTTACTTACAAGCTAAAGATAACAGCTAATGGATAAGCTGCTAGTAATGGCATGCTGGGGACCCTCTTCACTTCCCTGCATTATGGATGTTACTGATAATAATGTTTTTCCTTCCTCCCATGAGAGGTCCATTTTCTATAATAAGAAAAGGAAACAGAAGATTTTTGTATTAAAACCAGTTCCTCAAATGAATTTCATTGACTTTATTAAGTATACTTGTCTCTTCCAAGCCTTTATTTTACTTCTGGTACAGCATTCCTACTGTTACATTTTTCAGTTATCCCCTCTATCATCTTGAAAGTATGGTAAAAGAGCCATTTTATTCCAGTTGTATAGTGATGACCTAATAGCCTGTTCCCCATGTTTGCAGATTATACCAGTGGTATTAACCCTCCCTGGGTTAAACTACAGGAAAAATTTCGGAGAAATAACCTTTTGTTCAAACCTGCTCCAGCGGAATACCAACTGAACTTGTCTGACTGAGAAATATTCCTTTCACTGTTAGACCTTTCTCTTCTAGATCTGGTGATCTTTTAGATTTTTGAAAGCTTTGCTTATATGGAGTGCTATAGCAGTGGTAATAGAGAGAAGAGAGCATGTATTAGGTGGGCATGCACTGTTCATGGTAACAAGTTGTTTCATGATAGGAAAGACATTTGAAGCTTCTCTCTGTCCTTCCCCCCTCCCTCCTCTCTCCCCCAATCTATCCCCCCAAAGAAAGTAAGAGGCTTAGGAACCTAAATTGAAAATACAGTAATCAGTGTGAAATAAGTGGTTATTCTGTAAGTGTCTGAAAGAGGAGGGCGTTTTCAGTGGACCATATTGCCAGAAAAGAAAAAGCAAAATTTCTTTATTTTTGTTTCCAAATCAACAGGGAGAAAACTAGCTATTAGTTGAGACAAGGAGTTTTCTGTAAGCCATATACCTGTTACAGAACATTCTCACAATCAAGTAAGTTCAACAAACATGTTCAGTTTAGATTTTTTCTCTAAGACCAGATGCAAGAATTGCTACTGTCTCAGCAAGAAGTTTGGTTTGTTTTTTTGGTGTTGTTTTGTTTTTGTTTGTTGGTTTGGTTTGGTTTGGTTTTTGGGTTTTTGTTTGGTTGGTTTGGTTTGGTTTGTTTTCAGAATCAGTCTGTAGGTTAGTAGTTCTGTTATCCAGCTACCAGTACATGACTTGTCGTGGGTTATCGTCTTCTCAAGGTTTTTAGTGTTGCTCTGTTTGAAGGTCTCTTGACACAGTCTGAATACAGCAATACTTCCCCACTTTTGGAGGAGAGACAGGGGCTGTTGAACAGTTCAGTAGTTCAATAATGGATTATGGGTAGTTTATTTTTGATGCAGATTTAATGAGTCAATTTGAAAAATTAAAAGAAAAAAAAAGGTTCTTCTAGTAAGTAATAGTATTTTCCAAACAAGGCACTCATGGCAGTGAGTAATGTTGTTAGCCCTTCTCCAGCTGAAACTAAGTAGAAACAATGTGACAAAGATCACATCATTAGTTTCCTGGAAACCTAGAGAGGTGTGGTATAAGTTATACATCATGGTCTGCACCTGTGTATTTGCTTCTGTGTTAAAAGCTTGGAAACAGAGTTTGCACAAGCAGATTTGTATGCAAATGATATCCAGAAGATATTGATAATTTCCAGGTTGAACTTTCTCACTGATTACAGGTTTAAAGTGTTGTTTCAGAATGGAAATATGAATACCTATTTTAGTATTTTTTATATATTTTAAAATGAATTTAAACATTGAATAATATAAATATTATATCATTTATGTAAACACATTTATTAATGTAAAGTTTTCCTTACTACGTGTATTAATAATAATTTCTTTCATTTGATATTTGGTGCTCATGTTAATGATGCAAATGAAAGTAATACAATAGATGAGAATTGTTTTTCTTGAGGTGCCAATTAATAACAAAGTGAATTAATGAAAGAGACAAAAATGAGATATTGCAATATTTTTTTCTTTTTCCTCCTCTTGTTAGCTGTCCTTAGCTGTATTTTGCATGAGGTAGTGATAATAATAATACATTTTTATTTTGCTCTTTATACACATTCCATGGAAGCTATTCCAAATATATATATTGATTTCAGAACTTTATTTCTAACTTTCTTTGCAGAAAGAAAATAAAGAAGCACGAGGAGCAAAGTAAGCAGCGATTTTTTTAATTTTTTTTTTTTTCTGTAAGATGAAAAAACTATATGAGGTAGTAGAGGTATTTGTATTTTAGAAGTTCTTTTTTTCATTAAAGCACAGAGTATAAAACCCTACATGATGGAAAAATGGGTATGGAAGGGAAAACAAAAGTAAGCTTGAGAATGGTAACTGTTACAGCATTTACTGACTAATATTTTTTTCTATAAACATAGAACAATAGTTTTTGAATACTAACACATCTATTTATGCATAAATTCTCCACAAGATCTCCTATTTGGATCAGAGAGTTCATGAGCTAGATAAAGAGCAAAAGCAAGTTAAACAACAAGTTGGGAAAAAAAAAAGGAAGTATTATGCAGCAACAATTAAATTGCATAGAGGTGACTAATTTAATGCTTGTATTGACGTATATTTAATGTTGTAATGCTTTTTTGAAGTATTTTTAATCTCAAAGGTTAGGGTTCCATTTCTACACAGTTGCCTTCGAACTATACACTCACATGCACTGTATGTACTATTTTCTCTCTCTTGCTTGAACTAACCTATGAGGTCCATAGCCTTGAGACAGCATAAAGTACAAAGCAGAATTGATATTGGGGTCATTGAGAAGTCCTTTGCTTTCTTCATTTGCTACGCTGGCTTAGATTGCTTGAGGGGCTTTAGAAATGCAAGGGAGAAAATCAATAAAGGACAAAAAAATTCCAGTGTAATAGGAAGTGCCTGCTGATTGCGTGTTTGCTCAGCAGATGGCATCTTCTTGTAAATGATAGCTCATATCTGCTGTATCAGTTACTAAACTGTGTAATCCACGAAAGGGAATTACTGAATTTCATTACTGAACACTGTGCTTTGTATAAATATGGTTATAAGCATTAGAAGAAACAACCATTTTCTTTCTATGATACTGTTCATTTTTTATTATTCTTTTACTTGTTTATTATATAAATCTGTTAGATCCTACAGGGAAGTCACATAGATTATAAAAAAAAACCCAAAACCTTTCATGTTGTTCAGAACAGCTTTCAGAATCCTATAATTTCTATTGAAAAACTCCAAGACTTCTTATAAATGACAGAATCTTAAATTTAGCATTGGAAAAATCACTAATTCACACAGGTTCCTAAATTTGGCAGTGAAGATAGAGATTATACCTCCCTTTCTGGTAAAGATTGTGCTTTACCAAATGGAAGGTTTACCAATAGATCTTAGAACATGTGGAAATGACTGATGAGTCAGAATACAAATAAACAGTAATTTAACAATGTTTCTCAGGGCATTTATTTCCTATTTTTTAATTGCTATTTTTAATGCTACATTTCCTAGTAACTGTAAATAACTGTATCCATTATTCCCTTGAGCAATATTTGAGTTGGTGTTCTGGAGTGGTGGTAGAGGACTATCCTGGTTAAGTGGACTAAATCAATGTATAAACCCTATTTGTAGGGTTCTGAACTGGTAACACTAGTCGGATACCTTATATATTTCAATCTTAGAGACTGATACATTTCTTTTATTGTAAAAATTATAGCTTTGTAAAAGGGGGGCTTTATAAAAAGGGCTATTCTTTTCTTAAAAATAAGTAATATTTCTAGTTGTGCAGGATTATACTCTATGATTCTGCTAATCAAGTTCTATGGTTTTTAAGAAAAAGTTACTTAAAATTATATTCAGATAAAGTAAGGCTCTCCCATGATTAAGATATTGGCTTGTTTAAAGCTTGTCCAGCGTGTAGCTTAAATGTTATGGAAAAAATGTGTTTGATTCTATAGCATTCTTCATACAGGAGTAATATAGTCTCCAACTTTCAACTGTTCAAGCAATTCACTCTACACTTCATAATATAACTATTTGAAGGCAAGGTGAATCACAGTGTGAAGGCTTCTTTGTCATACCACTGAATTTGAAGTGACTTAGTTTGGTCAGCTGACATTTAAATGTCAAAACCTAGATATTGAGACAACAGTATATGAATTCTACCCCGTAGTAGAACAGTACTTTTGTTCAGCAACTAGGAAGAGTGAAGAATGTTGTTCATGTATTGAACAGCTGAATGACCAAGTGTCAAGGGACTCATTTAGCTTAGGCAGGATACTGGACTGTTATCCACTACAGCAAGCCATAAAGTGCAGATATTCAGTCAATTGATATTTGGATCACATACTGTAGAGTTATCTCACCATTCTTGTTTGTTTATTCTAAAAAAATTCTCTGTCTTCTATAATTGGTACCAGATAGCATGTATTCCATGTGCTTAAAAGACAGTGTTTTCAGATTTTGTCTGCTTTGGTTAAAATGTCCTGAAAAAGGTGCAGGAAGTCAAAGAGGCATAATTGTTCTTCATTGGCAGTTTTGTTCTAACGCAGCTCAAATGTGAACCTAACTCTTTGACAAAAAACATGTCATGGCTTCTTTGTGTGCGTATTTTTATCTGGACCTGATATCTTAATCACCTCAGATTTCATTATTTGCAGAGTTTAGACCAGGACAGATCATAGAGACATCTTGTTTATCATGGGCTATCACATTTCACCCAACATTCCTGATACTGAGCCTTAAACTTATCCTCGAAGGTTTGACACTCTCTGGCAGTTCAGTTAGACTGGACTTTGCATTAATTATTATATATTCATTTTCTTTCTAATGATTCTATGGTCTTCCAAGAAATAGGACATTTTCATCTGATTCTATACTGATACTTATACGCTTTTGCAAAATTTGGAGGTCTTAAAAATCTCACATTCTTGCAATTCCTTGCACACTTCCCATGCTAACATCTGTTACAAAAGCTTTGATTGATTGCTTTTTTTATAGCTACCTTTCAGGTATACCTCTCAGAAGCAGTCCTTTCATAAGGAAAAAGATCTTTAGACTATACATAAGGTTACTGCTCCAGAAAAATGGGGGAGTATCTAAAGAAGAAATTTCTGATCCCAAAATACTGTGATGCATTCTTTGCCTACTGAATTGTGAGGTCTTGAAATTTATATCATATTTATACATGGGTGCACTTAAATGATATATACATATATGTGTATATATAAGGATAATCAAAAGGTGTTTTCCTCCCTCTTAATTTAACCCATTTACCTAGCTGCTTACAGCCCATTAGTCTGGGTTACAAAATCTAATGCAGCAAGACCACTTTACAAGTATCACCCAAATAGAAGACTCCCACCTGTTTATTACTGTTAACTGCTACAATGCTTTATGTTTACCCCCCTTGTTTATTGTAGGGAAGCTGCAGCTTTGTTTACCAGATACTCTTACTTTTGAAAGTAGAGTTTCCTTGTGTTATGAATTTTCACATTTTTTGGGTCCTGTGGCCATTGGTCACATTTACTATGAAAAAGATAGCAATTTAACCTCTCTTCTGTTGAGAGTGAAAACACTTTTTAATTTAAAGTGTTTCAGCAGCTTAACGTCAGTATCTCTTCAAGTTCTGTTCTTGCAGCTGAAGAAATTCAGGAGGAGTTCAGGAGTCATTCTCTGTCTTTTAATCCTCGGCTGTTTGTAGTACAGGGCAACTATGTTATGGAAACTCGATATCTAAAAGAGGACTGTTCTCTAGTTAGGCAACTAAATGAAAAACTGCTCTGGGAAATGACAACTAAAAATACTGATTTTTCCTGAAAGTCAAGTGTTTTAGGTATCTGCCTAAAACAGCATTACATTTTCTAAGTACTTGGATGGTCTAGCAATAAAAGCTGCCAGTTAAGGCACTGACTCTGCATACACTGAAATAAATAGTTGCAGCCTTGGATCATGTGCAAAAGTTGTTACTTTTTGTTGTCATTAAAAATGATTTTGCTGTGCAAGCCAGAGCTTATTTGCAAAAATTTTATATGTAGGGGCAAAAATAAAAGAGACATGTATTTTATGCAGATAGTTACCTGTAAATATACATATACCCACATGCAACATAGACAATTACAAAAATACAGGTGCTTTAATAAAATTTGTGCATATATGACTTGTGCAACAATTTGGAGAACTGTAACTGGATTTGTGAAGTTGTTCTCTCACAGAAATGCAATTGTACCAGTTGTACTAATTGTTTTAACTGCCCATTCTGAAAGAAGCTTCCTTTCTTTGGGTATGCAATGTCATTAATTTTTACCCATAATCATGTGCTTAAAATACAGTATTTGGAAACCCAGCTTTGACTAATTCACGTTTGGGTTTTTTTTTTTTTTGTTTGTTTGTCTTTTATTCCTCGTTTAATTGTTAAAAACTATCACACTATGGAAAACCTAAAAAATGAACTTAAAGAATTAAATGACTTATGGAACATGAAGCAAATACAAATAGAAAACACAGAAAAATGTTTTGCTGAGTTGTGGTTAGACCTACCTAATACATAAATTGTAAGGGATAATTAATTGCTTCAGTAAAAGTAAACTAGTAATTCTACTTCATTACTAAAGATGTTTTTGTTATTTTACAGTATTATTTCCTGGAAATACTCACTTATCAATAATTTGAGAGTATTTTTTTCTGATCACTGTTTGTAGTTTAAACACTCCTCTAGAAGTAATTAATGATAAATTCTCTGTCTACCAAACTGAATTTTGGGCATCAAAATTACTTTCAGAAATCTGATAACATTTATGGTCAGTTGTATCCTTAATTAATGGAGAAGGCCGCGCACATTGTGTCTTCTCTGGTTTAAGAAGTGTGGACCTAAACTTACTGTGACTGATGATTCCTGAAAATGGTCTCGAAGGGCTCTATCCAGCTGATAATGCAGGCTGTCTTCTAGGCCATGCAAGCCTTGGAGGGCTGTATATGCTGATTGCACAGCAGGCTTGCTCTTCAAGGATAAAGGTGAACCTGCTGAGCAATGTCAGAAGGAAGCAGCTCAGATTGTTGAACTGTACAGGATGACTAAATAGTGAAAAAATTATTCTTACATCATTATACTACAGCTCTCTTTCTGTGATCTCCTTCACTTACATACTGTTGATGTTGAAAGGTCTTTGAGAGATTATTCCATAAAATTCTTGACTTGGTGGGGAAAAAATCTTTGTACATTGTTTAGCTCAATATGTGGGACTGCACATGTTTTTTCCAAACACTTGATTCAAACAAAACGATCCAGAGGGACCCAATGTGCAGTGGAACTTAGTGAACTTCAGGAACTGAGGGCATCTTTCCCTTACTTTACTGAAAAATGTCCTTCTCAGTTTTCATAGCTCTTTAGCCAGTAGTCAGTGTTTTCATATCAGTGACATGTCATGTTCAAGCTCAGAGGAGAAAGGGATAATGCCAACACAAAGTGGCATTGAAAGTTCATTCCAGTGATTCGTTGTTTCTATGTAGTCAAGAAGTCTATCTCTTCAGAGAGGAATTTTCTTGCACATTCTGCAACTTCTAGACCTAAACTAGTAAAGTAAATTTGATTTTTTTTTTTTTAATAAGAACCTGCTTATAGAGATCCCATTTAGTGGAAAAAACTTTACAGTCAAAAAAACTCCCCACACCTAACTCTGACTTCCACACTGTGCATCCCAGTGGCTAGTGTTACTTTTTGTCATTCTCTGAATATAGAAGGCACAGCACACAGAAATGTCTCTGTCATGTGACATGCTGAAAACAGGTAGCATGCTTATGCCTTCTGGTTGTCAAAGCAGACTCTATGAGTTAGGGGGAAAGGAGAGGAAGGGTTTGGTGTTGCTAGCCTTTTTTCATTGCTTACTGCTATTCATTACTGAGGATTAATAATGACAATATTCAGAAAAAAAATTCAAGCTATTCTATTATTCTTCTATTCTTGTCTCAATGTTTTTAATTATAGGATATATCACATAGCACTTCATCAATTTATTTCAACAAAGTGTACTCTACTAGCCATTCCCTTTTATATTTTGTGTTATGCATATAGTTCAATTATGCATATGCAGTTCAATGCATATTTATTTGAACTGATCTTTCTTCTTTTTATAAAAGTCCTGATACCTGTCTGACTTGGCAGAAGAACTGGGAATAACAGATTACCTGTTTTAACATTTGGTCTTGGCTTTTATTTCCATTTTTTGGCAGCCTGAATTGGTGGAGAAACTTGAAGTAAATGAGTCCCTACTTCTGCTTTCGATCTTCACTGTTCTTTGATGGCTACTTCATAGCATCTTTCTCTGAATAGCTCCTTGATTTATTATTGCTTACCATTGATACAATAAAAAGACTAAGTAATAGTTACTAGAGTGAAATGGAAACACTGACCCGATGGTTTCAAAATAACAGTAGTTGTAAATTATTACTTTTCAACAATAAAATTTACTACCAAACTGAATGCTACTGCAAAATTTAGCCTAAAGTGCTAACCAAGGGAAAATGGCATACCACAGGTGTCCCATCTGGAAATCGTCGTATACCAATGACTTTTGAAAAATTATTTTTACGCTCTTGGAAGACAAAGACATGTCTTCATATCTGTAGTTAAGAATGAACGTTCATTCAGTTCTTTTTATCTCAGTGGCATTTGGTGCTAATTAAATTAAATGGAGGATGAGCAAATCCTGTGAATTGAAGTTTTGCGTGAGGGGCATCTTTTCTTATATTGAGCCCCCACCCTTTATATGCATCAGACAAACTATATTGCTGTATGGTGTGTCTACTCCTCCATCAGAAAAGGAAACAAGGGCAGGAAGTAAGATGTGGGGATGTATTGAAGATTAGGAAGGCTGGAAGAGAGTTTATTTGAAAAGGAAGTTATGTAATTTCTGATGGTTCACTAAACCCCTCTTTGGATTCAGAGAAGGCCTTTAATGATGCTTTAATTCTCTGTGAAGAGATTTGTTGTTCTAAAGAGAGTCTTAGAACAGACTTGTGACCTCCAGAATTTAGAACCAAATATGAAATTCCTAAATACATCTGTTCTGTCAAGTATCAGCTAGTCACTAAGAAGAATAACAGCTTATTATTGATTCCAGCTGTTGCTCTCTTGACAGTGTAAATGGCTTCTGAGTGGTCAGCTTTATTGTTATGGGACAGATTTTTCCCCTTTCTCAGACTGTTTGGCTTGTTTGAAAATTTTAAAAAAGTATTTTATTTTAATGTTAAAATAACATTTATTTTACATAACCAAACTTTAAAATTAGAAAAAGTAGGCTTAAACTTGCCTCTTGAACTTCCTCTTTTTGTGTGAACATTGTGATAGGTTCTTTATTAAGCAGCTGTTATATTACCTCCAAGGCTTTAGTTTAGGTTATCTTGCAGAAAATCAGTTAGAAAAGCTTTTTTTCTTTCTTTTTCTCTCTCTCCTTTTTTTTTTTTTTTTTTAATATGCTTCTGTCTACAAGTAACCGAAATATAGACCCTGAGAGAACAGAATGTCAGTACAAAGTGAAACCTCTGAAAAGACCTTAACTTTACATATTTAGTCTTTACAGGTTAAAGCAACCATACTAGGCATGGACAGAGACAGAAACAAAATATTACACAAATAGTGTGAAGCTCCCATTTCCACTCCCAATAAATAATAAAGCATTAGTTACTCAATATAGCTCTGGCCATGGGGTCATTCTGTGTCTTAGAATATCATTATTCAAGGAAATATTTCACGTGTGATGAACCAGTCCTTTCTCTAAAAATGAAAACAGTTTTTGGAATTGTGAAAGTTATGATGTATCTCAATAGACTCATTGGATATGGATTGACAGGCAGAATGTCTAGGTGCTCTAAACATTCATGATAAGCTCTATGATACAGCTGCTTTTAGTTTATAAGGGTATCATTAGTTGTGAGAAGACATTATTCTATCTATCATAAAATTAAAAATGAAACCTGTAAGTAAAGACTAAAAAACAGCATAGCTAAAGTAAAGACTAAAAAACAGTATAGTAGTGTCATGTTTAAGCAGCAAAATGCTCAGATGATATTTAATAATCTCCAAGATAAGCTAGCAGAATATGAGAAAAGGTTAAAACAGTAAGAAAAAACATATGGAGAATTTCTGCCCAAGGGTAGAAAGAAATAAAAAAGCAATGCCCCAACTTCTGGAGTCCAGTTTAAAGGAAGCAGCTCAAGAGGTTCTTATCTAGGATTTCTAGAAATTCCAGTTAGATATTATACTGAGTGAGAATTGCCTGTCTTGACAGTTGAAAAACTTAGAATAACCTGTTCCAAATATCTTGATAGGTTGTACAACCTACAATATAGGTTGTATCGTTTAGTTTGGCAGAAGTGCTTTTAGATATTTTGGTTGATTCAGAGCCATATTTAAGCAGTAAAAGAAACTCTTAACTCTGAAAAGGGAAAGTTAGTTCATAGTTCCTTCTACTTAAGGAGAAATGCAGATGTTCATGTCAGTACAAAAAATTAGAGATGCGCAGCTACCAGTGCAGTTTGGAGGTCAGAATTACAAGTCATCCTCATTACCTCATTTTTAAGATGGACAGGTATGAGCCATTACACCTTATGCAGAAGAGAATGATGCAGTAATAAATGGAAAGACCAGTGAGATGGAAAATCCCAGTCTGAGGTCTATGAAAAGGTCCAAGAAAATGTCCTGCAATAAAAGTGCAGGATTTGTGAGGGTGAGTAAAAACTAGTAAGCAAGAACAAGAGGAAGGAAAAACTTTTTGCCAAGAGAAGAAGGTTGGAATTAGCTTGTCAGGAAGGGGATAGAGAGTGACATCTTTATTCAAGCAAGAAATCCCTCTCTCCTGGAGACTGGATGAGACTGTTAAATCCATAAAGGAGATCAAACAATCTCTCGTCAAGAGACAAACTGACCCTAAACTAGGTGAGAAATTTGGTGAGAAAACTAGGGACCCTTCTTGTTGACATCATGAAGGGAACTGGAGCTGAAGAATGGTCCTGATATTGAGAGAATCTTCATAAGAGACTAGAGACTTCAGCACTGATACAGAGAAAGAAATTTTGTGGGGTGACTCTTGCTGTGCACTGAGAGATAGAAATCTTCTACTCATGATCAGGACTGAAAGGGATGTTGAACCTGAAGCATCTGTGTGTGTGATTCTTGCAGGAACACACATCATGTGTGATCTGGCTGGAAACCTGAGTTACTCATTTGTAGACTTTCCAGACACTGTCTGCGCAGAGGAGAGAGGACTGCCAAGTGATAACACTGTGAAACATAAACCTAACAAATGTCACAGCTAAATACAAGGTGTGACTTTTGATTTACTAAGAGGCATGCTACTGAATGGGGTGAAATTTTCTTGTATAATGAAGAAGGGATACTTTCCAGGCCTGTTTTATCGCTGTGCTATTTGTAACTACTCTCATAGCATCTCATTACCTCCTGTTCTACAGAGACTGTACAGTCCCCAAACTATCATATTGCCATTTGGTTCAGTGCTGATATGTGCTGTATTAAACACACAGATAAGAATTCTTTGACGTAACAATTTGTAATGAGTGTTGGATCACGTTCAGAATGATTATGTTGTGCCTTGTTTTCCTAACCTTGAAACAAGCCTGCTTGTGCTTGTTTTCTGCTGCTAATGTGATTATTGTACTTTCAATTAAAGTAATTGTAAAAATGATTACTGTGGTTTTTGAAGATTGAGCAAGACATTTTATATGACCAAAACTCTCTTGAAATATTCAAATTTGTCCTTGTTAGTATTTGCTATTGGACACATGATAATATATTCATGAAGCCTAGATGTATAAATCTTTGAGTTTTCTGCATATAGTAGAATGTAGTTTATATTAAGCAAAGCTTAAATATTAAGCAAAATATATATATTAAGCAAAGCAAACGTATCTAATACATTTACTTTAAATGTTAGAGTTATTAAAATAAGCTTTATATCAGTTATTATTAAAAAAACCCACCTTTGTTCTGCAAATGTTCAACAGAATGTTTTTACCTTAACTTAAATATTTTTCATTTTGAAACAAATCAGAATGTTTCTATGAGTACTTTCTCTTTCATAGAAAATGATTTTCTGTCTGAGAAATGATATATCAGAAAATCCATGTCTGGTTCTGACAGCTAGTCATGATATGTTTTTTCATCAGATATTCAGAGTATTACTAATGAAATAATCTACAAAATGGCATATTTCAGAAGTGATTGTTATAGAAATATGATAATATACTGCTGAAAGCTGAATTAAGAAATAGGGAAAAACAGATTTAGATCCACGAGGCTGTTTATCATCACAGTATTAGGTAAAATCCACTGGGTCTCTTTTAAAATTCACTATTCATCTTTTAGGTCATATTTTCTTCCAGTTATTCTTTTCAGTCCTGCTGCACTAATACCTTCAGAACAGTTTCCATCTCTTACTTCCAAAAAATACTGTTAATCAATACTGATGTTACTGAAGAGCTTTGCTACAGCACGTCCATGTAAATGCAAGAATTGCATTTAAAGATATATGACAACAGAGGACTTTTTTTAAAAGCTAGAGAGCCATTCCTACCTTTAGGCTATTCCATGTTAGTGTGGGGTAAGGATAACAAATAGTCTGGCTATAAAATTGTCTTTAATTAGTTGACTCAGTGGCTTCCAACAGTGTGTTACAGTGGTCTGTGGGACTCCCATGTTACGAGATAGACTTTTGAATCTTACTCCGTGCTGCTGGGTAGTCTTAGTATATCAACTTATATGCTGTCCTGTGGGAAGTGCAGGTAGAATTACCCAAATAACCGTCCCACTGATTTTATTGGCTCACAGGGAAGTCACATACTTTGCCTTCTAAGGAATATGCATGGCTAGAGGTTGGGTGCCATGACAATAGCAATACTCTGAGTGAAACTCAAGGGGACATAAAAGTAGAAGGTTAATAGATATTTTAAGGGATAGTTTTAAGTTTCTTCATTCAAAACAAGCCATATACATAATAATTAAAAGCAAATTAACCCTTGCTGTATTTTCATCATCATGAATGATAACTATTGTAATGGTATACAATTTTTTTAAAGCAATTATTAATTATTCTTTCTACAAGGACAAAAGCTCTTTCTAATATTTCAAACCAATTTTGATTGTAATGTCTTCATTCATAACATTTTAATAATACTTTGGGTTTTGCTAATCGTAATTTTCTAATTTTGAAGAAACCCTTTTCTGCATTTTCTATGATGGGTGTGGGAATTCAAAGTTTTCCAGAATTTGTTTTTAAATAATCTGAAATCTAGTACAAGCCTAGAAACATGTATATCGAAAAATGGTAATTGATACCTGAAATTGCAACTGCATGATGTGTGTAGGCTTGGAAGCTGAAGAATTAAGTACAAAATTTCAGACGTGGGGCATTTTCTTAAGATACAATCCTAGAATTCTTTTCACATTTTTCCTTATGTGTTCTTTTCCCTCATAAAAAATAAATTTCAAACTATGGTAAATAGGCATTATGTGTTATTTTTTTTAGAATGTCTCAAGTGTATGTGTTATTTAATTTTCTTAAGACAAAGTATTTGTACTTATATGGTCAAAAGTTCATAAAATTACATTTTTAATTTTCAGTTGAAATAGCTGAAAAAAAAATACACAACATTAAGTATTCAAACTCCTATCAGTTCAAAAATGCTGGACTGGGGTTTTTATCCTGCAACCTAGACGTCTATGATCATAAAATACTGTTTTTAAGCAATCCACATGTCATGCCATGTCTCCAATGCAGTGAAAGAAAATGCAGAGACTTTTATATTTAGGTACTGGGGGTTTTTTGTGTTTTAATTTTACTGGTGCCTTACAACTACTGCTGTGATAGTTAAGCCTCCATCTGGTTTGAGGGAAAGATACTGGTCTTCTGAATATTCTCTTTGTACTGGGTAATTACATATGAGAATTCTGCTTCATGTCCACGACGGAGGATTAGCAGGTACTCTTTTGGAAGATGATTAGTCTTTCTCTCTTTGCTTAGTTAATTCTAAGGGCATTCAGGTGACTAGTTTGTGCTGATAGAACGTGCCAATGCAAGGAGGCCATGAGATAGCCTTTAATGTTAACAAGAACCTTCGTTTATATCACGGCAAATATAAAATTCTCTTTGTTGTGTGGAATTTGATATATGCCCTTCATGAGGTATAAGTGTAAGGCAGTATTGAGAAGGTAACATTTGTTACTTAACGTGATGGAACCAGGCTGTGAGGCTTCCTTGCCAACTTGTTGTTTCTTATTGTAGCTCCAAAGTTAAAATAATGGATTTTCTAATCCTGATTTGGAGTTTAAGAATAAAGTGTAACTAGAGTAACTTTAGCTCCTTCCAAAGCCACTGTGTGCCAGTTCTGCTGCAGGTTTGTGCACACTTGAGATATTTAAGTAATACTGAATTCCTTGAGGAAGTCATTTGCACAAAGTGGCTACCATCCTTACTGCATCCTCATAGTTTAGGTTATGTTTTTTGGATATATGTACAACAATCTCTGTCACTGCATTACTTCATATGGGGGGAGGGGGGGCTTTTTTTTCCTTTCTTTTTGTTGGTTTCATTCTAGATTAAACTTTTAAAATGAGTATCAGTGTGGGGTTAAATATGAGAATATTATCTGTAAGTGTTGGATTGATTGAAAATCATGGCATTATGAATCATTCATATTTCTGCACTTACTGTTACTTGGATTCATTGCAGGTTTTGTAACAATGTCATGTATGCCCTTTCAGGCCATTTTATTATTAAAACTACCAATTCCTGTTATCTGGTATGGACAGTTATATAGTAGTGCAGACTACACCTAAATAATAGCTTTGCAAAGGTTTGACTATTATAAATCCAGGAGTATCTGTATGTCTGCATTGCATTTAAAACACGCAGAGCAGAGTGGTCACTGAAGCAGGAGTACATCTTTCTGCTACCACAGTGGGGTGTGTGAGTTACAACAATCTATCCCGTTAATAAAATGGCAAGGGATTATGATATTTCTCACATCCAATGTTTTGACAGCGTTAAATACTGCATTTACAAGGGGAGTTCTGTGGTATATGCTCAGTCGGCCTTTATTTCATT